CAGGGATGCCTCGTGTGTGCTCATCCCTGAGTCTTCTCAGTCCCCACAGATGTCACTTCCTCCCCTGCCCTGCAGCTGCTAAGGTCTCCACAGCCTCCTGCAGTGGATGCCTCAGTTGCCCTGGTCACCCATTTCCAAATGGGCTCTGCTAGGTGCCTCCACCTTTGCGGGTGGCCTCCATCTTTCCCGAGTGGCCTCCACCTTTGCTGGGTGGCCTCCACTACCGCTGAGCCAGCTAGGGCAGTCAGGTTGCCAACGTGGTGGGTGCTGGGCCAGCAGGAATCAGTCCTGGGTGCTGAAAAGCCTTGCTGTGGGCAGGGCCTCCTTCCTCAAACGGTTGCTTGTCCTATGGCTCGCTAATGTGCAGTTTTACGGAAAGGACCTCTCTCTTTTCTCCTCATCCTCCTCCCCACCTCCCGCCCCCCGATTCCTGCCATCTTTCTAGTCCTGAGCCATGAGCCCCTGAAGCGGGAAAATGGGCAGCTTCCACGCTGAGAGCCAGATTCACCAGGGCCAGTCTCCCCATGACCACCCAGGGTCAGCGCTTCGGACTTGGTGCTTATAAAAATAATCATAAAAATTTGTGTGTTTTTTATGAAAAAAAAAAAATGTGGTTCCTCGCTCTCTGGAAACGGTGGGGTCATATTCTGCTTTCTTTGACCTGTAGTTCTTAAATTTTAAAAAGTTGGTGTTGATTTACTAATTTCCAACATTAAACAGAAGAGTCTTCCCGATTCTGACTTTACTCACATTGTTATCAACCTGCAGAACATCCGTTTGTTGGCTTTCAGCACAAAAAGAACAGCAACACATTTATAAGAAATGGGGAGCAATCCACCACTCACCGTGAGAGTCTGTCTTATCCTTTGTCAGGAGATTGACACGTGGGTTCATGGTTACGACTTTGATACTGTAGATGCCTATGTTGGTCATAGTTGCCATTGCTAAGACAGATTTCAAGCCTCATGGTGAAATATTTCTAAATCACACCCAGTATTTCTTAACGAGCCTCACCATGTCCCAGGGCTTTCCCACCTGAACCACCAACCATCTAGGGATCTCAGATGGTTGTGGGGGTTTGAGGTTATGGCTGACTTTGTGACTCGGGTGAGTCGTTGGCATTCGGGGCCTGGGAACGCGGTGCTTCGGACAGTCCTACACCAAGAAGACATGTTCTTCCTAAAATGCCTAAAGCAGCACCACTGATGAAAGAAACCAGAACGATTTCAGTAGGCAGGCCCCAGAGTGACTGGGGACGTAAGAGCAGAGATATTGAGAAATCCAAGCCTCCATGGTTGAGGTCAGACACCAAGCAACAGGGCCTCTAGCCACCTGGCTGTGGGCAGGATTCCTGTCGTCAGGGAGGAGGCAGAGACGGGAAAAATGACATGGGGCTCGGAGTTCACAGGACCCGAGAAAAAGGCTCCAGATACGGAACAGCCTGGGGCAGTTCCTGCAGGACCGAGGCCGACAGCCTCCCTTCTGGGTCCTACCCCAGCTCTGCCGCCTCAATGCTGTGCAGTGTCATTTCTCTGAGCCTCGATGTCCGCCTCTGTAAAGGGCATCATTAACCTCATAGGGATGCTGTAGGACCAGTGTTTATCAGGGCACCTGGCACATGATAAGTGTTCTGATGAGGAAGGCTGCTGTGGTTATTGTTGTTATTAACAATTGGAGGGATCTAACTTGAAGAACATGGGCAGGATGTTGGGACCGTAGCCTTAAGAAGGCAGCAGTGCTGTTATCAGTTGGAATATCTGCTCGGTCTCATCACAGCGCAGAGCGTGCAGCCAGAGAGCTCGGTTCCCTCCTGCGGCAGAGGAGGGCTTGTTCTTGGGACCAGGATGGGTCGGATGTTGCAGCTGGGACTCCAGCAGGTCCTTCTGTGAGGAGAAGGGACGTGGAGGATAACAGACATTGCCAGGAGGACCAGCAGCTTAGCTGGGAAGCCAGGCCTAACACTTAGGACCAGTTAAAAAAGCAGTCGCATATACAGTCTAAATACAGTTATGCAAAGTAATACCTCTGCTTGCTGGTATATTAGGGAATAACAAAAATGTGAAAGGACATAACCAAAATGTTAATGTGGAAATCTCTGGGAGATGAGGCCATGACATTTTTTAAAAATATATCATAAATTGCCCTAACCGGTTTGGCTCAGTGGATAGAGCGTTGGCCTGTGGACTGAAGAGTCCTGGGTTCGATTCTGGTCAAGGGCATGTACCTTGGTTACAGGCGCATCCCCAGTAGGAGGTGTGCAGGAAGCAGTTGATCAATGTTTCTCTTCATCGATATTTCTAACTCTCTATCCCTCTCCCTTCCTCTCTGTGAAAAATCAATAAAATATGTATTTAAAAAATCATAAATTTATTTTATAATTAGAAAAAAAGGAGTTAGTTCTAACTGATATAAGGCAGAGTCTGTTTCGGAGTGAAAAGTGCTGTAACCACACAGAAGTGAGAAATCCTGTTATAGAATCGCAAGGGAAGGTCTCAGGAGGAGCTGGCATGGGGGGAGTTCCTGAAGGATGGGTAGGGCCTAGATACATGGAGGGAAGAAGACATTCTAAGGAGAAGTCCCAAACACGTGGGCAATCATGACACGTGTACCAGTGGCTCTCACATCCACTCTTTGTCCTGCTTTGCGATTCTGGAGCTGGACACGGTCGACATTCCTTCTCTGCCAGCTGGCACAGCTTTAGGCCTTGTTCTGCTCTGATATGTTCGGGGGATGGAGAAAGAACATCCCGGTCAAGGGAGGGACTGCAAAGAGCAGACCCAGAGTGGCCAGCGAAAGCCGAGGCAAATCAGGTGGGGTCTTAGACTCCAGTGAAACATACTTCACTGCGTGTTGTACTAACAAGCACATTTCATCTGCACAATGGCTCGTTTTTCCTCAGTAGAACACTTTGAACTCATTTCTACCATAATTGGTAAATCTCCTTTAGCCAATGGTACTTCGAAACTAGAGCAGTATGTCTCATAGGGGAAGAAATGCAGTTTGCACAAACATGTTTGACGATCTATTGTTTACATACTACCCTTTAATCAAAGTAAAGTGAGAATTTTCTTGTGGAGGACAGGAAAGAGTGAGATGGCTCAAGGTAAAGTTCATTTATGGACTGACCGATGGGTGGAAAATCTTCTCGGCATTGCCAAAGGTCACTCCGGTCTGCCCGACAACCTGCGAAGCCTCCCAAGTATTTTGCCTTCTGGCCTGCTCATTCCTTCCTTCGCAGCCTGTCTCTGACGGCTTGCCCCTTCCTGGCAGGCACTGACTTCTCGTGATGCTGTGCACGCCACACTTTTCAGACCTCTCCACCTTTTCCCATGACATTGCCACAACCCGGAGCAGCCTTTTCCATTTCTCGATGCCTCGACAAAGATCTGTTTGTCTTTTAAAGGGCTGATCAGGCATCATTTTTGTAAAACAAGTTTCCCCCGATTCTCTTCTCTCTAGATTAATCATTTCTCCTCCTACACTCCTTCTAGGCTGCCTCTATTCTGTGCATCAAGTTACCTTGGTGCTCATTTCGTGTCTTTTTTCATCTTTTCCCCTAGACTGAACTTTTTTATTAAAAAAAATTTTTTTTTCAATTATAGTTTACATTCAATAGTATATTATTATTTCAGGTATACAGCACAGTGATTAAACAGTCATACTTTACAACGTGTTCCCCTGACACTTCCAGCACCCACCTGATAGACTGAGCTTCTTCCCAGCTGTAATTCTCCCTGTACCTCCAGCGCCTAGCAGACTGCCTGGAACATAGCAGATGAATGCAACTGATTTTGGGCTGTTGCCCAGACTGCTGAGGACGTGTCTAGAAAGGAGAATTATGTTATTTTGGGAGATTGGAACACTCGGAATTATTGGGACATCATTGTTAGTGGTTCGGTTAGCATTTTGGTGTTTCTGGTTTAGGAGCTGTTGGCTATCCAGATCTATTCCAATAAATTCCCTCCGTGCAATGTCTGTTCTCTCTCTCTCTCTCTCTCTCTCTCTCTCTCTCTCTCTCTCTCACACACACACACACACACACACACACACATACACACACACACACACACAGGGTTCAACGGTGGGAGAATTAGAATTTACTGTCAATTCTGCCTGAGCCCAACCTATGACATTACTGGAGGAAAACATCTGTGCTTCCTCTAGGGTTCTCATATCCATTTTCGTTACAGGGCCCTCTTACTATGAAGGAGGGGAAAGTTCAGAGGCACATCATAAAATATTCATCACATTGCTGGCATTCTGCGGAGAATTGAGCTGGTTAAGTGGCTCCCTGCTCGCTCTTACCTACCCTGAGCTGGGAGCATCTAGATTTTGATTGGACTATTGCCAGAGCTCATTAGCATAGTGTACCTTGACCTGGGTTAGGGAACAGCGGCTTCTGCCTAGAAAATGACCAGAGCCTGCTGAGACCTGAACCGGGGATGAGATTTTTATAAGACAGTATTGCCTGCATCTCCATACGAAGTCAAAAGGTAAGGAAGCCAGAAATCCCCCAAGAAAATGCAAACATAAGGGATGCAGTAATGGCCACCCCATTCTTACAGGGTTCCATTTTTTTGGTAGAAATGATGAAAATTGAATACACTTTGGTCCGAGTTGCTTTAAAAAGAGAAAGTCTTGACAAATTTAGACTTTTTAATCCTGGAGAAAAGCTCAGTTTGTTTATGTCTTAAGGGCGGCAAATAGTCTTTTCTTCTTTTCTATGATTTGCTCCTATCCTTCGGTGAGATATTAAATTAATGTTCATTTATTTGGCAAAAATTTATATCAGAAAAAAATTAAAAGACAATCTAGTTATTCTGTAGCAAGATATTTGATTCCCCTCTCCTTAATTTAAAAACAAAAGAAGTGTGTCTATATTAATTAGGTTTAAAACAGTGTTTTTCATTTCGGGAAATGTGAATCTTGTTATTCATTTGTTTTGTTTTTTAGAAAAAAGTTCAATCTATCCCAATTAGCGATAACACATTTTAGAGCACTTGAATCACTGTTGCTAACTTTCAAAGAGGTAAGTACATAAATCTGTCACTATCACATTTTCACTTGGTATTTGTGTCTAATATACTTGTTACTAAAGTCTTCTAAATTAAAGTCAACCTGTGGCATCATTTCTTAATTAACTCAATGTTTATTTTCCAAACATAGAATTTGATTTGAAACTCACGGGAATTTCATTTTGCATGCCAGCGTTTGAAATAGGAAGTGGGGACTTCATGCTCTTTGAGTGTGTGAACACTAAGTGATGGGCGAGTGTGGGTAGACAGGGTCGGAAGGTCTCTTCGATTCCGTTTAGCTTGTTATTTAATGGCCAGACTTCATTTATACGTTCAGGTCAACAGTCTTCTCTATCCATACACTTGGACACTTGTCAGTGATTGACAAGTGTTAGGGTTATATAAAGTCACATAACTAAGGGGCAAAGCTCATGGGGCCACTAATCAGCTTGTGGTTTGAGTTTGCTGTTGAAGAGTTCTACATAACGCCATCATGTCCCTTGTTTTTACAAGAACACCAGCAAATGGTAATGATATAGATCTACGGTTGGGGCTTTGTGCACGCAGAGGGCTGACTTAAGTTATACTCAGATTTCCGACTACGTGCGGTATTGGCACCCCTAACCTCACACTGTTCAAGGGTCAACTGTACATGCAAACGTGTTTCACTTCGTATTCTACTAACGAGCACATTTCACCTGCAAAGTGATTCGTTTTTCCTCAGTAGAACACTTCGAACTAATGTGTTTTCTTAATTTTTAAATCTCCTTTAACGGATTATAATTAGAAACTAGAGCAGTATTCTTCATGGGGAAGAAATGCAGTTTGCACCAAAAAGTTTTGAATATCGATTGCTTACATAAAACAATTTAATCAAAGTAAGGTGAGACAGAATTTTCTTGTGGGCAACAGGAAAGAGTGAGATGGCTGAAGATGAAGTCACAAAGTCCTGAAGACTGCTTCAAGTGACATGATAAGAAACATGATATTAGAGCAGTTCTCATACATTCCCCCCAGGGGACGTTGGGCAATGTCTCTAGACATTTTGTTGTTGTCACAACAAAGAAGGGTGGTTTGCTACTAGCACCTAATGGGCAGAGACTAAGGATGCTGCCAGACAGCCTACAGTGCACAAGATAAGCCCGCACAACAAAGAATGATCAGGTCCAAAATGTCAGCAACACCAAGGTTTTAGAGGAATCTCATATAAGCATGTCATTTGATCATATTTGAAGATATAAAGTGCACACTGGATTTATCGGGGAGACCAACATTAACCTCTGTAGCAACTTAACTTTAAAAAATACTATACAGACACGACTGGCCATGATGTTCCCCCCTAGAATTTCCTCCACATGTGAGCTAATTTATGAAGGCATTTCCGTGGAAACAGCTCCAAGCCAGCTCTCCCCCTCAAACACGGGCATGCATTTGGAGGAAAGACCCTAACCATTGGTTACAGGTGACAGCCATTCCTGCTAGAACCTTCGCAAGCTGGGACTAGCAAGGACCCAGGGGTTAGTGCATCATCACCACACTTCTGATTCCCACTGGCCAAGCTTTCTTAGCAAGATATCTTTTTTTTTTAAATATATTTTATTGATTTTTTACAGAGAGGAAGGGAGAGAGATAGAGAGCTAGAAACATCAATGAGAGAGACATCGATCAGCTGCCTCCTGCACATCTCCTACTGGGGATGTGCCCGCAACCCAGGCACATGCCCTTAACCGGAATTGAACCTGGGACCTTTCATCCCGCAAGCCGACGCTCTATCCACTGAGCCAAACCGGCTTTGGCGCAGCAAGATATCTTAACGGCTTCTAGCTTTTATTTCTAGCTGTACGTTGGTGATTGCAAAAATGTCAATAAAACAGGTTTTTCAGTTAGACAAGCACTGATTTGTATCTCTTTAATGGTCAGTATTATTATCTTTTTTTTTTTTAGCATCAGAAAATAGTCTCTTGGTCTAAGCTGCTTGAGTGGACTGATCCAACTATAATTACGAGCAAAATCCTGAAGCACTGCTAAAGGGAGTGAAATACACAGAAATTGGTGGCTGACCTGACTTTACCATGGAACCTGAGGATTTTGATTCTGAGGACAAAGAGATATTAAGCTGGGATATCAATGATGTCAAACTGCCACAGGTATGTACTGGCTGTAAGAATCTGCCTTCAAAAAAAAAAAAGAAAGAAGAATCTGCCTTCAATACAGGGTTGGGTGGGGCAAAAGTAGGATTACAGTTGCTTGTATGGAAAATTATGCAGTAATTAATACGTAATAATGCAAGAATAAAGTCTGTGTTTCATGTCCTCACAACTGCAAACCTACTTTTGCCACACCCGGCATTTGGCTATGAGGCCGTGACTATTAGGTTGCTAAGACTTGGAAGGAAATCGCTGGAGGTTCCTACTGGGTCAACTCCCATCCTCTGGAGCTTCAGCTGGACACCTGGGTCAGGAATTTTAAAATATATATTATTTATTTATTTATTTATTTTTTACAGAGAGGAAGGGAGAGGGATAGAGAGTTAGAAACATCGATCGGCTGCCTCCTGCACACCCCCTACTGGGGATGTGCCCACAACCAAGGTACATGCCCTCGACCGACCGGAATCGAACCTGGGACCCTTCAGTCCGCAGGGCGACGCTCTATCCACTGAGCCAAACCGGTCAGGGATTTTAAAAGGAGATGCCCAAACCTATGATTTGAGTGGGTCTTTACTTACCAATCCCCCAACCCACTATTTTCTCGCCGCTCTCCCCACCCCCCTCTTATAGACTGAAGCAAAGAAAATGCTACTTCCCTTCTCATTCAATAGTGGCTCAGGTTGCACCCTCCCTGGCTACCTAGAGGCATAAAATCCATGCAAGGTATTTGCCCATAAATAGACTCTTCATAATGTGCACGTCCCCCCACAGCCTCATTTGCTATAGTGATGGTTTGAAACAAAATCTGTAACTGGAATGTCCAAATGGGAGTGCCCGTGTGGGGGGCAGCACGGTCTTCTAGGACTTTTGTAAATAATACACACACGGGGCTGCTTTCCAGCCATAGAATGACTTTGATTGTATGTTTCCTTGGCCTTCATCTTAACTCTTAATTTGGTGGAAAGCATTGATTAAAACGGGCTCCCCCACCTCCCTCTCTGCTAGTTGAAGGGTGCTTCACTGCGAGTCATTTGGAAAGGTGACTAGGAAAGCTAAGACGGAGACCAGCTCTGCCAAGTACTGAAAAGGCTGAGCTGGTCTACCTGATTCTGGGGAACAAGAAACTTGAACTATCCAAGCAGCGGAGAGGGAAGGGAGATTCCACAGTCCTGATTCATAGCCATTCCAGATTTTCACTCTAGTGAAGACTTCCAGATCTTTTCACACTTCACACTTTACACTAATTTTCTTTTGTTTCTCTTTATGTTTAAATATTTTTTTAAAGATTTGTTTCTCTTTAAATTCCTCCCTACATTCTCTCTTGGTAGATCTTGGAAAAGTGGAGGATAGGAAGTGTGCCCTACTTTTCATTCATTTAAGAATGATTAAATAAACCACAGCTAAGTCATAATATCTATTTTAGGGATTTGTCTTTGTAGTAGTCACCATTGGTTTACGATTATTGCAGCCGCAGCTGTGTTAGGGGAAACTTTAAGATACATTTTAGTTACTCCTGGCTCAAGGACCTGTATTTCTGCCTATTCCTAATTTCATGATTGCAACTCCCCAATGTAAGCCAGGCATCCTCGAAATCAAGAGCTGAAGTACGCAGGACCATAGGTGATTCTGCAGTGTCACATCCCAGAGCAGGAGCTTTTGCGGGGTCTGAGAATCCCTGAAATGACAGGCCGCAAGCATACTGACATCCATTGTTTTCTGGAAGAGGATCCAGATCACCCATCAGATCAGACAAAAGAAAGAACTACCTCCCTGGAGGGAGTCTCAGGGCTCATTACAGTACATGTCCCAACACGAATTCTCAGCATGAAAGCATTCTCAGCTACCCAAGACATTGACCTGAAAAATTTACCACAAAAATACACATTCAATTTTGGAAATGTACCATTTACAGTTCATAGAAAAAGTTTTATTCCTCATGGAAATAACTTCAATTTGTTAAACACGCCACAGAAAGAATTAAGAGTATAAAGGTCCCTTAACGTTTTCTAAGCAGAGACAACAGCATCCCCAGCTGGGTGTTTGCTGGCTCTGGAACTGCATCAAGAACCAGTTGAGATGAAAATAAAAGGCCTTGGAAGGATTTCCAAGCATACCGGGTTTTATGTTTTGTGAGCAAATCTGGAGGCTGAATGGTGACTGTGAGAAGCAGGAGACAAAGCCCTGGCATTGAATTCCAGTTCTGCTCTTTTTATTTGTAGAACCTTGGGGCGTTGTTTACCTTTTCCCAGGCTCCCTTTCTTCTGAAAAGGAGGTGGTTGCACTAAATGGTCTCTTATGTAACCTTTTAGTTCTAATAGTCTAGATGGCATGACCTGAGATTTGGGAGGTGGCCTGCATTCTAGACCTGCCGGCCCAGGCCTACCATGATGCCTGGTACATATTAAACAACAAGTGACAAACATGGAATTTATTAATGGATGACTTCATTGTTTTTAATCTGTGTAACTCTAAACAAGTTGATGTCCTGAAGTCTTAGTTACCTCCTGGGTAAAATGAAGACAGCAATTCCTATATACCCTGCTTAAAGCTCTAAGCTGTTCAGAGCAGTGTTTCCCAAAACGTGTTCAGTAGAGTATAAGTTACAAGGGATTTGTTGTTGTTAATCCCCACCCAAGGATATTTTTCCATTGATTTTTAGAGAATGGAAAGGACAGGGGGGTGGGGAGGGGGGGGAGAGAAAGAGAGAGAAAGAAACATCAGTGTGAGAGAGATGCATCAATTAATTGCCTTCCCACACTTCTGACCGAGGCACATGCCCTTGACCGAAATCGAACCTGGGACCCTTCAGTCCACAGGCCAACGTTCTATCCACTGAGCCAAACCAGCCAGGGCAACTTGCAAAGAATTTGAATGGGTGTTGTGAAGAGAGAAAAAGAGAAATACTAGGTTCAGCGAAGTTAAAGATTTCTTTACAGCAGGCTCGGAGCCTTCCTAACTGCCCTGTGCATGGGTGGCTCTCACAGGAGGAAGCCCTGTTAGGCAGTGTTGCCCTCACCTATTTTTTAAAATATATTTTTATTGATTTTAGAGAGGGAGAGAGAGAGAGAGAGAAACATCAATGATGAGAGGAAATCATTGGCTGCCTTTGCACGCCCCCTTCTGGGGATTGGGCCCACAACCTGAGCATGTGCACTTGACCAGAATCAAACCCGGGAGGGACCCTTCAGTCCACAGGCCAATGCTCTATCCACTGAGCTAAATGGCTAGGGCACCTTCACCTATTTTTGACCATGGAGCCCCTTTTTCATGGAGTTTCTCAGGTGGTTACTCTTCCTCAGACCACCTGTTTAGAAGTTTTTTTAAAAAAGTTATTTAAAGGATCAAATGCAATGGTTTGTTATTATTATTAATTTCCCCACTTTCATCCTCTGTACCACCCATACAAAGAATTTCTACTTTATTTTTCATGATTTTATATTCTTACCGGAGTTGTACTTCTACAACCCATGGGCAAATTCCTGCAACTTGTAAAACAAATTCCTTTCCTGTTAATCCACTCACGTGCTTCAAGTTTCACAGTGGTCACCTGAGTGAATCCTGACTGTATCAGGTCCTGGAAACTCCGTATCACTTTACGTATCTCAGATTTAAGGGCTCACTTTTTTTTTTAATTTTTTTTTTTTTTTTTTTTTTTTTTTTTTTACAGAGAGGAAGGGAGAGGGATAGAGAGTTAGAAACATCGATGAGAGAGAAACATTGATCAGCTGCCTCCTGCACACCCCCCACTGGGGATGTGCCCACAACCCAGGTACATGCCCATGACCGGAATCGAACCTGGGACCCTTCAGTCCGCAGGCCAACACTCTATCCACCAAGCCAAACCGGTTAGGGCTATGGGCTCACTTTTGACAACTGTTACCAGGACATCAGACATTTTTTGAGTGACTATAATGAATCAAAGCCATGTCGAAAAATGCTTGCAGTGCTTAAAGGAGAAAGTATGTAATTCAGCAGGACTTGGGCATGGAAAGCAAGGTAGGGCACCTGGCAAAGGGCTTTCCCCAGGGAAGGGCATTGTAAAACTAGGGTGGATTAGGGCAAATGAAGAAAGCAATCAAGACAAGAAAGGCATGAATGCATAGAAGAGACTGACAGATCTCAGAGGGGAAAGGGGTGATAGGGACAGGAAGAGACTAACCAAGTCTTCATTTGAGGGAGCTTATGCATGGTGCGCAGCAAGGAGATTGGGGAGGCTGGGGACTGGAGAGGTGGTTTGGAGCAGGCTATCGAAGAGGACTGGGTTATTTTACAGGCAGTGGGAAGCATCGCCATCAGGCTTGGATTTAGAAAGACTACTTGCCCTCAGTATATCATCCCTCCGCAGTTTGTTTCTTCCTTCTTTCAGCTGCATATGTGTCTTAACAAACCTTCATTTCACTTGTTTCTGGTCACTCCTCTAACTTGTGATTATTTTGATACCATCTCTCTTTAACCTAGTCCGCAAGGAGCCAGCCCAGAAGGGCAGGCACTTAAATTACTCAAAACCATCATTGGTAAAAGTCTGTTTTTCCAGGCTAATCTAATACCAGTTTTGCATTTTGAAGGTTCAGAAAAGAATTTCTGTAGGCTTTCCTTGGTGCAAGCAGCAAATGTCCGGTGCTGGTTTAGTTTTACTTCACTAAAAAATGTTCATCGCACGGTCCCTGAGAGTGTCACACGCTCATTAGTACGGATTGTAATACTTGAGAGCCTTGAATCCCTAAGAAATTCCTCCCCGCCCCCCTTTTTATTTTAGGTTGAAAATTGAGAAGAGAATCAGTTCCCTTTTCTCCTAAATAGTACCCACTTCAGCAGGAAGATGAGAGTAGCTACTCCGTTCTTAGCACCAGCCAGTTTCTCTAAGCAAAAGTACAGGGTGTTCCAGCAATACCACAGCAGACACATACCTGGAGTCATTTTGTTCCTAAGCATGAGCAGTTTTCAGATTAAACCCATGGCCAAAGCCACACTGAGTCATTAACTCACAAAATTCCAAGGCCGAAGTACATGTTTTATAGACAGAAAACAATGAGGACATACATAGGTTAAGTAGAAATGCAGACCAACCTAAAAGCTGGTGAGCCAACTACAAAGAGGCCGCAACTCCGATTAGTTAATTCCTGGATCATGATTTTAGCCAGCAAAGTTTCTTTGGCTTTTGTAGGAGATGAGTGAAAACTTATTAGCCAAGGTGAATGTCGGAGCTCTATCTGTGAATTCATGTGACTAAATGTGATCAGAAGGAGCCAGCTATAGCAATCTTTGTGTCTTGGTGCTGGGGAGGGAGGTAACAGGTCCCAGATTCAGGGTTTCTGGTCAATTATTATCTGGCTGCATGATCAGGTCACATTGACGCAGATACCCATGACTTTGTCCTCTTTGTCCAGTTTTCTTGGTATCCAGAAACTCCCTGGTGCAGTGCAACCTATGTGGGCTTTCATGTTCATTGGCTCCCCTGTGATTGGGGCCAGAATTCTGCTGCCCTGTGTTTCCGGTGTGATGGGCTTGGGCCCATTACTGCACCCGTAGTAGCAGAGCTCTCTCTGAGCACCTGTCAGGGATCCCTTGCTTAGTGGGGTGGAGTGGGGAAGGGAAGGGAGAAGTAGGTGACAGAATTTGAAAGCTGGGCCATGCTGGATCACCTTAGTCGGAGTAAGTTAGGTGCTTTTTGTCTGAGTCTTGACCCCTTAACGAAGGAAGGAAATGGCAGGTTTAGCCTAAGCAGGAATTCCTGACTCAAATGCATTTTGTTGAATAGAATTTATCTTTTTGAGAATGCCTGGAGTTTGTTTTCATTTGGCTCAGAAGAGATAAATTCTTGAAAAGTTGTGTGTAAATCAAAATGCTGGTGGAATTGTTTTTCCATAAGTGACATCTAATTTTCCCTTCTAACTCATTTGCTTTAAGATGTATCTGTTTGCTATTCCTGTTTTACTTGGAAACATTTATTTTTAAGGACTTAATAAGCTGTTATAATGAAAGAAAACCTGGTAGATAATTGCTTTATCTGAGACTAGACTATATTCCAAATGAAAATCAGTTTTAATATAATAACCTAATCAGGTAGATATTTTTGATGCCTCATTTCAGAATGTTGATTTTAATTTGTTGTTTTATATAATAGCATATTCTTAATTCTTAAGGTACTCTGTTAAAACTTCAGTAGTTAAATAAATTAGAATTAGGAGATGATGAAGGGTGATCTATGATTATATAGAGTTTCAAGGATTTTGAGAGTTAGAGGATTAAGTCTTTTAGTAAAAAATTACACAGAGAAATCATAAAAACATTCATGAAGCCCCCAATATATTACCAATGAGATTATAAAATATAAATTAGTTAGATTTACATGTTGGAAACCTTAAGAATATTCTCCTTAAATTATAAACTTCTTAACCAAGAGGAAAAACAAAGAGTTACTCATGAAAAGTTAGAAATTAAAATAAACAAAAGATCTAAAAAAAAGAAGAAAATATTTTGCAGGAATTTGCTAAACACAATTAAGAAATGATTGTTCTTTCTTTTTACATTTTACCTCTCCTGTGCCTTAAATTTAAAAGGCTTTCAAAAGTCGCTATCATTCATTTGACACCTGGGTGGGTTCCTTTGCATTGTTGTGATCTGGCTTTCCCTTAATTTCAATGTCAAAAAAGCTTGAAGATTCCACAAAGTATCCAGGTAAAAAAACTGGGCATAAATAAATAGCCAAGAGAATAGCTTGAGTCCTTTTACTCCTAGTTATTTCCTCAAGTCCATACGTTGTCAAAATTGTTGCATTATTAGTGGTACCAGAAACCTAGGGTGCCAGTGGAGGGGCTGTGAGGAGGGGGGGAGGAGCTGAAAAGACAGTAGAATGTAGATCATATTGTGATCCTTAACACAAATCTCAAGAATATTAAAATAATAAAAAACACGGGGTATATTCTCCAATTACAATGGAATCAAACTAGAAAATAGCAAAAGACAACAGGAAAATCTTCCAACACATGGAAGCTAAACTATATATTTCTAAATAACCCATGGGTCAAAGAGGAAGCCTTGGGAGAGATCAAAACATACACTAAACTGAGAGAAAATGGGAAAGAGAGAGACAGACAGGGTGGAGATCATTTTCTTTCCTCTGAGAACAGGGCGTCTTCTTTAACCAGAACCTCTGAGCCGCTCTCATAAATACCTTCCCCTCCTCCTGGTTCATGGGATTTATGCCAGTGACCAGCCTAAAGGGCCACTCAACTTTAAAACATGAAAATCTCAGCTTCTCTAAGTCCTCCTCTCCCGTCTCTGCTACCCTGACACTGTGCTTTGTATTTGCGTAATTGGGATCCACCAGTAGATTTGTACAGTCCAAGCTGTTAGACAAAGGTACACATTTTAACCTGCATTTTGATTATTTCAGAAGGTAGAATGTTATGCTTTCTGTAGCACTTCTGTGACAGGAAACAAGAGAGCCTTATTTGGTGCTTAGGCCAGAAGGGAGAGGAGAGAGGTGGGTGGAGAAAGCAGGAGATGATGAGGCTGCCTGAGCTGTTTCTCTCCCTCTGGGACACTGAATTTCATCCCGTTCAGAAGTACCCTTCACCCTTCTCTTCAGGGGCAGCCTCCCCTTCCCAAAACACAGGAGTTCCTCGAAGGGCCCGCTGTTGTCAGTGCTCTGAGAAGGAAGCGGGTGGAACCAGAGTTGCAACAATTAAGCTTTGTTGTGTAGGCGCTTGGACTTGCATTAGGCTTGGCAAGGTTTAAGGCATGCAGTGGCCCCTCCGTGGGCCCTTTCTCCCTGAAAGCTGGGGGCTCCTACAGTCACATTGGCTGGCCGGTGTGACCCCAGGTCTAGTAGATAACAGCCAACACTGATGTGGAACTTGCTGTGGCCAGTTATAAACATTTTGCGTATGTCAGACGATTCCATCCTCAGAACATCCCTGTGAAGTAGATGCTCTTGTTTCAGAGCAGGAAACAGGCACTGAGAGGGGGAGGAGCTTGTTAAGATTCACACCCAGGTCATCTGCCTCCATTGGCCATGCTCTTAGCCAGGAATTGGCTAACTTCCTGTAAAGGGCCAATTACATAATATACATTTAGGCTTTTCAGGCCATCCAGTCTTTGCCAGAACTGTTTAACTTTGCTGTGGTAGCATGAAAGTATTCATGGGCAACAGTCAAGTGCATGGAACATGGTTGTGTTCCAATAAAACTTTATTTACAAAAGGGGGGAGTGGGTTGGATTTGGCCCATGCGTCGAGTTTGCAGGCCTTATCTCTTAACCACTAAACTCTCAAGTGCATAGAACCTCTCATATTTCCTCAGACCTATCTCAGCTCCCGTGACATTCCACTCAAACAACTCTCATTATATAAAGCTTACAGATCTGCTCGTTACAGTACTGTCTGAAATGTGCTTTTATCAATGTTCCCGTTTCAGAGAAGAGCAAAGTGAGGCTTCGGGGACAAAACCCCTTGCTCAGAGTCTCCTGTTACACAGTTCTTTGTCATGTTCTAAACTTGAAATCTAACTCAATGAACCCCAGTCCCCTGATCACTCCTTCTGGACCTTCTGGAATCTTCTAGTATGATCTTCCAGGCTTTTCTTATACCATGGCGGTTCTCTGGGAGCTGTGGGGATGGACACAGCCCGAGTTTGACTCCTGAGACTGTTTAATAATTCTCACGCTAAGAACCAGGTGGGACTGTCTGATGGGGCTTCTGTGGACTAAAGTGGGGCCTGAGGAATGTACTCCAGGCTGTGCTAAGTATTTTTGTATATTATCATATTTAATTCTCAGAACTGCTTTTGAGGTAGACACGTCTTGTTATCCCTATTACACAGATGAGGAGACAGATACACAGAAAGCCAAATACCTTCTGCTCACGATGGAGTGTCTTTGTTTAGTTAGAGGTTCAGCACAGGGGATCGTGCCAATCCTGAGCAAGAAGATAGAAGCTTCCAGTCAAAGCAATCTCCTCCCTACTCCTCTCCCTGTTTGAGAAACATGAATATAGGAGTGGGGGAAAAGGAGACCTCCATAAGGGCGGAAACGGCTCTCAGACTCCTGCGCCCGGGCTCTCCAGTCCTCCCACTGCCGATGACTTTGCATTAGCCTTACCAGGCTTAATATGGTTAACTGCACGGTGGTATGAGTTATGACCTCACTATCCTGCCACAAGGGTGTTTCCGCATTAATTGTGTCAACACAATAACGTTACTTCACCCTCAAAAATTCTTAGTGAGAAGTGGTCATACTCTTATCACCAAGGGCTGGAGAAGCCGCCATCGGGTAGAGCTCAGAGGGCTGAGTCACAGCTCCTTTCGGTCCAGGGAGCAAAGGTGCAGGAGACACAGCTGCTGCTGCACGGCCTTCTCGGAAATCACCGTCACCGGGGGAGCCAGGTTGGTCTCTGCCAAGGGTCCCTGGCCTCGCGCTTGGGCGCCAGAACCACCTTCCTGTCTATGGGCTCCACGGTGATGGACAGTTGGGCCTTGTAGCTTAAAATATAATGGTATTCTTTGTGTTTCTGTAAGGATGTGAAAAAGATAGACTGGTTCCAAGAATGGCCGGATTCCTACGAGAAGCACATCTACAGCTCGGAAGACAGGAGCGCGCAGAGGCACCTGAGCAGCTGGGCCATGCGCAACACCAACAACCACAACTCGCGCATCCTCAAGAAGTCCTGCCTGGGCGTGGTGGTGTGCAGCCGCGACTGCTCCGCCAAGGAGGGCCGCAAGATCTACCTGAGGCCTGCGATCTGCGACAAAGCCCGGCAGAAGCAGCAGAGTGAGTGGGGCTCGCTGGCGTTGGAGAGGAAGCCGGTGTCCATTCAAACGCTCCCGCTCAGCTGGGCCACTACATCCCAGCACATCACAAGGGCTCACCCTTCACACTGGAGGAGACCAAGGCTGTCCCTATGCAGAACATGTTAAGGAGAACCCACGCACCCCCCCTTTGCCCCCACAGGGTACTGCCCCACGGGTCTGCCTTGACCAGAGCATCCACCATTAAAACTGCTCCCTTGAGTTTAGGCACCTAACTCAAGGCCTCTGTTAAAAGGCAGATGCCAATTATACCTCAATGAAGCTGAAATTTAAAAAAATGTAAAGAAATGTTTTTAAAATGTCTAATATGTACTGATGTTTTATGTAAAAAAAAAAAAAAAAAGGAGATGCCTCACTTATGGGACTAACATTAATTCATCAGTGAGCACATATAAAGTTTAGGAGAACGTTGTCTATTAGATTTGCTTCCTGGCCCTGTGGGAGAAAGATCCCTGTATGATCTCAAGGAGTGCTTTGATCTGGAGTGGGAGCACCGGGGCTAAATTTGCGATTAGACTCAATCCCATGACATTTGGGTTCATGCCATAATCACACGCGGAAATGTGTGCTCCTTTTGTTTTTTATCATGTTCATCGGATTGTGAAATACATTCAGCATTCCCTGTGCCTGGTCCATTTCAGACCTCAAGTAACCTCCTGTTCTTTCCTTGTAACTTGTCTTCAAGACTTGCTCTCAAAGCAGGATCTAATATTGGTCATTTATACTTGAGTGAAAATTTAGCAGCTGCGTTCTGTCTCCCATGTGGCTTTGCTCCTTGACTCTTAGTTGTAATCGTGAAGTAAAAGAATTTTGTCTTCTTTTCTGTAAAGAATTTTAACTTATCAGTAAGTACATAGGGAGGGATATTCTGCTCAGGAGACCTCTCCCCTGACCTGTGAAATACCCCGTTCTATAGGCCGCTTCCACTAGCCACTGTGAGACTGATCTGGGCCGTGTGGTGGCCAGGCTTCCTAGGGCCAGGGGTTGCCCAGTGGATGGAAGTGCATAAAACTGGCCCAGATGTAGTCTCTGCCATCCTGGCTTCCTGGTTAACACCACCAGGGCTGCCCGGGCTCAGGGGTTAGCTGGCATGGCTCGGTGGCACGAGGTCACCTTCTGCTGCACTTTTGCAGGGAAACGCTGTCCCAACTGCGATGGGCCCCTGAAGCTCATTCCCTGCCGAGGCCATGGGGGCTTCCCAGTCACCAACTTCTGGAGGCATGAAGGACGCTTCATATTTTTCCAGGTTGGACTTGGGTTATAGTGATAAGATGCCATTTCTTTTTAATTCAAGACATGGTTACAGAGTATGAGGAGGGGTTTCACACAGGAGATGTGCAGGTGAATGAGAGCCGACACCGACCCCGAAGCACACTCTGGGCGAACAAGTGCCTGTACCCCACCCCTCAGCAGGGGTGCCTGGCTGCCTCTGCCTCGGGCTCCATAGGGTTAGTAACGTGATCGCGCTCAGGCCAGCAGCCCTGCCTTGTACATAGCCTCCAACTCCAGACTGAATACCAGCTCTGACTTCTGAGTTGCTCTGCAAACCTAACACTGCCCTCCCTAAGCCCCAGTGTTCTGTAAAACCTGGGTATTGGGAAGTAAAAGCGGGAGCGGTGGTATACACAGTGGTGAGGAGTGGCCTCTGCCAGTGTCTGCCTGGGTTCGCAGCGGCGTGCTGGTAACCCTGCCCCTCCCACTCCCCCCGAAAGGAGAGTGTTCTGATTTTCAAGGTTGGCCCATTCCTGTGCTGTAAATCTTCCCATCCTGGCTGATTTAAAGCAATCGGCTGTTTTTAACAAGTAGCTCATAGAATTCCTGAATCTTTAACAATTAGCTTCCAGCTCACCCACTTACCAGGGAAGTGACCCAGGCACCGCAATCTCTCCATGCCCCCATTTCCCATTCCGCTAACTGGGAATGATGATAGCATGTGCCTCACAGGGTTGTGCTGGAGGTTAAATGAGATCGTGTGCAATAGGCATTACTTGCTATCCCGATGCATAGGACTTTGCCATGTGGGTGAGAGACACCAGGAAAAGGAGGAGCATCATAAACAAAAACAGGCAGGCAAGAAAGTGCTCGGTGGACTTGGGAGGTACTTAAAGGGTGTAGCCAACACTCAACTGCAGCAACACACGGTCATATGACAGGGCACAGGGTAAAATTTTACACACCATGAAGTACCATCTGGTCATTTATTTTACATCCTTGTCTCCTTTAAGTCAAAGGGAGAACACGATCATCCAAAGCCAGAAACCAAAATGGAAGCCGAGGCAAGAAGAACAGTGAAGAAAGTGCAGGTGGCATCTTCCTCCGTCTCCTTAAAGCTGAACAGGAGCCCAGAGGCAAAGGTAACCTTTCCCCATGTGTGTTCAGAACCAGACGGCAACTCGCCACCCCTATGGTGGGGCAGCAGATTTCTCCAGCCCCTTACCTACAAGTGAAAGCAGGAGTCATATCCCGCCAGGCTCACCTGTAAGCCAGCGTCTGCCACACAAACTGAGCCTGAGGGATGCCTCTTAATTTCTGCCATCTTTATCGCATGCTCTCAACATAAATTCTATGTAATTTTAGAATCGTCTTCCCTACCACAATGAAAAAGAAACTGGAATTAGTACTTAACTTACATTTTGGCACTCTATAATTTGGTTCTCAGAGAACCAGAATTAACTGAAATGATCTCCACAAATATTAGCCTCATGCTTTCTGCCCACATTTTCATTCTTCCCTAAAACAGATTACAGTTAACCCTTCCACGGTGCAAGGGCTAGGGGCACTGACCCCCCCGAGTAGTAATAAATCTGTATATAATTTTTGACTGCCCCCCAAACTTAAGTTGTACCTCAGTATCCACAAAGGATTGGTTCCCGGATACCCTATGGATACCAAAAACCACAGATGCTCAAATCCCCTACAGAGAATGGTGAAGATCAATGCAGACAGACAGCCCTCTGCATCCACAGACTCCCAACTTTGGATCCAAATAGTATAGGTATTTATTGAGAAAGATCCGCGTAAAAGTGGACCAGCGCAGTTCAATGCTCCACATTTCTTTTAAGTGTTATTTGTTTCTTGTTAATCTTCACCAGAGGATGTTTTTTTTCATTGATTTTTAGAGAGAGTAGAGGGGTGGTAGGGAAGGGGAGAGAGAGAGAGAAACATTGATGTGTCATAGATTGGTTGCTTTCCACACATATCCCAACCAGGGCTGGGGATTGAAACCCCCAACCCAGGTACGTGCCCTTGACTGGGAATTGAACCCACTCCCCTTTGGTGTGTGGGCCAATGCTCCAACCACTAAGCAACACTGGCCAGGGATGCTTCAAGTTTTTTTCAGGAGGACTGAAATGGAGTCATTCCATCCCTGGAAGCTCTAAACGTACTTTAACATTTTAAATATATATATATATATATATATATGACTTGTGTCTCTTATCAGGAAGTGTAAGCCCCAAGTCCAAGTAACTGGCCCCTCATCCCTTCTCCCAGCTGTGGGACAAGTTGAAGGGCATTTCTTCCCACTCACTCTTACTTGGTGACAGTCTCTCCACCCCATCCTCTTATTAGTCAATAGTTTTGCATAGACAAGAGGATTATTTAATCCTCAACCAGATTATTTTCCTAGGATTCACTGGAGGAAAATATACTTTCTCTTTACAAAAATAAATTTACCGCCTGGCCGGTTTGGCTCAGTGGTTGAGTGTTGACCTATGAACCAGGAGGTCATGGTTTGATTCCCGCTCAGGGCACTGGCCTGGGTTGTGGGCTTAATCCCCAGCGTGGGGCATGCAGGAGGTAGCCGATCAATGCTTCTCTCTCATCATTGATGTTTCTATCTCTCTCTCCCTTCCTCTCCAAAATCAATAAAAATATATTAAATAACAATAATTTACCATTTCATAGTCTAGAAGTTGTATTTATGATTCAACAAAATAAGTTCAGAGAAAAATCTCTTGAGGAAAAAAATACAACCCTAGTCCCTTGGACGTCACACAACACTGAAAAATAGAAAAGTCAAGGAAGGAAGCAAGAGAGAGGGGACCCCCTGAGAGTTGTACTGAGCATAAGACCAATCTGTGATGCTGTAATTTGACTTTTCTTAAGTAGCCCTTGTGAGTTTCTCACACAGGCATTTAGGATATGAGGTTGGCGTATGAGGGGAAATGTTTACTAGCGGTTCTCAACCTGTGGGTCGCGACCCCTTGGGGGGTTGAACGACCCTTTCACACGGGTCGCCTAAAACCATCGGAAAACACATATATAATTACATACTGTTTTTGTGATTAATCACTATGCTTTAATGATGTTCAATTTGTAACAATGAAATTGGGGGTCACCACAGCATGAGGAACTGTATTAAAGGGTCTCGGGATTAGGAAGGTTGAGAACCACTGGTTTAAACATTCATGTCAGAGTGAAGGGAAATTTGGCGCTTACTGGTTAGTAAGATCTAAAATGGAGATGGAATCAGCGTCTCCTCTTTCAGACCTTGAGAGGCTGTTTTGATGCTGCTCCGTGCGTCTGCGCTCCGAGCATGCCAGGAATGAGGAAACTCGGGCAGAGCACCTATTTGTACAGAGTAACTCATGGGCGCCTGGGGTAGTTGTGTCCATCTGCTTAACTTACTTACACGGGCTTTTCGCTTTCCTTTCCAGTCTGTTCCTGGTGAAGCACCAAGTTGGGGGAATTTACCTTTAAACTGGTCTTTCCAGGAAAGCATCCACCTGCCTGGTGGTGACGGTGGGCTTTTGACGGCTGGCATCCCCCATCAGAAGTCACCGAATGAAGGCTTATTTAAGAGCTATGGTTTGGGGGGAGCCGCTGATCTGGCAGACCCCACTTCTACCGTGGGCCCCTCTGAGCTCTATGAGAAATGCAAAGTGTCCAACACTCGGATCTATGGTGCTGGGGACCTGCTTCAGCCTCCTGTCCCTGGAGTCCTCTCTGATTACAGTGATCTGCAAACATGGAATAAAAGCGCTGCTTTGGGAAGAAATCCTCTTAACGACAACGTGTGTCCCAGTTACCCCTTCCCCCAGGCCGGCTGGCCTTATGACTTCCCCCCTCCCCAGAACGCTTTAGATCCCCTTTCTCAGCAGATCCCAGTGGAACCACCTTCAGCCAAAACTGGCTGTCTCCCGTTATGGCCAAGCCCAGGGGCGGATCTCTATGAAGAGAAGGTGCACGTGGAGTTTAACAGCTACTACCCTCCCACCACGTGCCATTCGCCTCAGGAAGACCCCTTCCTCTTTACCTATACCTCTTATCCTCACCATCAGTATTCGCTGCCAGGCAAGAGCAGCAAGTGGAATTTTGATGAAGAAATGAGGTACGTGGGTCTGGATCACTACAACAACGAAATGCTTCTCAACCTCTGTCCTTTAAGATGAACCCAATCTGAACCCTTGTGCACGGTTCGTACATATGTGATTTGGTGCAGTCACTGTGGAGAAACAGTATGGAGGTTCCTCAAAAAAATTAAAACTACCACAGGGTCCAGCAATCCTCTTCTGGATATGCGTATATCCAAAGGAAACAGAATCACCGTCTTGAAGGAATATCAGTACCCCTTGTTCATTGCACCATTTTTGACAACAGGCAACACGTGGAAACTACTTAATGTCCACTGATGGATGAATGGATAAAGAAGTTGTGGTACAAATATAAATAATGGAACACTATTTAGCCATAAAATAGAAGGAAATCCAGCCATTTGCTACAATATAGATGGACTGTAAGGGCATTCTGCTAAGTGAAATAAGTCAGACAGAGAAAGACGAATACTATATAATTTCACTAGATGTGGAAACTTAAAAAAGAAAAAACCAAATTCTAGAAACAGAGGTCAGATTTGTGGTTTCCAGAGGCAGAAAGAAGGTAAGGGGAAGGGTTAGATAATTGGGTAAATATAAGTTTATCTTCTAGATAAAAGCCTATAATCAGATCATGTTTTGAAAATCTTATTTCCCAGTTATTGTACCCTATTTAATCCATGGCCACAAAGATTTTCTCCTATGTTTTCTTCCAGCAGCTTTATATTTTCAGCTCTTACATTTAGGCGAGCGTTCCACGTCTCATTGATTTTTGTGCATGGTATAAGGTAACCAGGGTTGAATTTCATTTTAGTTTTGCATGTGGAAATGAAATTGTCTCAGCACCATTTGTTGAAGCACAAGTCTTTATCACAGTCTCTGGTTAACTGACTATCCAGAATCGCTGCTTTTATGACTGCTCACCGGTAGGCTATTTGGTATACTATAATCCCATTTTCTTTTTTAGACAACAGTTTGTTTCTCCTGGAGTTGATAATTGTCTCAACCCATTGCTTAATTTCCTTTATAACTAACAATAGTTTATCCTCAAATACTGCCCAACCATAAGAGTCTTTTTGTTTATAGTAATTCATATTTTCCTTAAAGAGAGTCCTTCTGGAACTTTCCATTTCTCCTCAAGTGTGGACAGATTGCGCTCTAATCCTGCTGCTCTGCTGCCATGCTGGTTTCTCTTCACCATCATTATTGGACCTTCTTTCCTCTCCTTTCTCTGGGATTCTATACCTTTTTTCCTTCTTGGTACATTCCCCAGTTTTTTTTTAAAATATGTTTTTATTGATTTTAGAGAGAGAAGAAGGGAGAGGGAGAGAAACATTGATCAGCTGCCTCCTACAGACCCGGGAATCAAACCGGCAACCTGATGATGCTCAACCAACTGAGCCACTCTGGGCAGGGCTATATGCCCGAGTTTGGTGGAGCACATGCCACACTAGTTCCCTAAGGAAAGACGGATGGAAGATGCAATTTGGGGGCCCATGCATATTTGCAAGTGTCTTACTTCTATTCTCATAGTTAAGTGATATTTTAGCTGAGAATAGAAGTCTAAATTGAAAATAATTTTCATTCAAAAATTTGAAGTTACTGCTCCATTGTCTTCTAGCCTCCAGCATTACTAGCGAGAAGCCGGAAGCCATTTTGATTTCTGATCCTATGAACATGGCGTACTCTTTCTTTTTTGGAGATTTTAGGATATTTTTGTTACTTTTGGTTAACTGAAATTTCATGATAATGGTGTTGGTGTGGGTCTTTTTATTTTTTATTTGTTGTACAAGGTCCTTCTTGACACTTTTAACCTGATCATCCAGATCTTTCAGTTCTGAGATATGCTTTTGTATTTTTAAAAAATGATTCCTACTGTGAACATGGCCATGGCCCTGGAGCCTGAGGGGGTGCTGTGGGGTCAATGAGCACTGGCCCCAACCTACGCTCCCTGCATAAGTTCACAGAGAAACATAAATGGGTAACAACAGAAAATGGTATTGGAACAGCGGGATCATCAATTTTGCACAGGAAGCTTTGGGAAATGTTGTAGTCTCCTGAAATTGGGACAAAATTGAACAAAGGTGAGTTTGGTACTTTGGGAAGTGTGAAAGCTGCTAGTGAACTCTAGTCTCCTCTATCAGGAAAAGTAGTTGGACTTAATGAAGCTCATGCAGAAAATCCAGGACTTGTCAATAAATCTTTTTATGAAGATGGTTGGCGATCAAGATGACATTGAGTAACCTTTCAGAACTAGGTGAACCAATGAGTGAAGAAGTATATGGGAAATGCATAATATCTACTGAAGAGTGAAAATGGAAACCCCTAAGTACAGTAGTATGAAACGACTTGATGTAACATAATTGTCTTAAATTAGTGGTGGACAAAAGTTTTAAAATAGCAGCTTTTAGTCATACCACTGAAAAAAGAAACTACTTCCAACAATGCTACAAATGATTGCAGATGAACAATATGCATCTTTTTACAACACCCTCTAATGTTTAGGCCAGGCTACAGTTATTCGGAATTCCTGAAATTATCTGTGGTAACAAGTAGTTATAAAACTTATGTAATTCAAAGATAACATTGTCATAAAACTTTTATAATGTAACTTGCTTACAGCCATCTCTAGATTTGGCTCATAATACTCAATGGTCTTTCCATTGGAAATAACTGGCAGTGAAGACAAGTTTTTATTAGTTGTACAGTGTTGGATAATCAACAGTACTACCTTAATTTTGCAATATGCTGCTTTTGCTGGTGCTATTTTTATACAGTGGAGCAATTGTCTTGCAGGAAAATAAGAAACAGTCTAATAATAAAACATTCAACTTCATTAAAAATAATAATTGCCTTTTCTTTATTTTTCTGGTTCTTTTTGGAAATTCTTTTAGTTTGGTATTATACTCGACCAATTTTCCTTGGCACCTACTAATACACTCACCCTGACCACTGCTCAAGTATCAACTATGCTTACTGAATAGCCACTGATTCTAAGAACCACACTTGGGCACAGAGAAAGTTACAAGACACAATACCTGACTGAGGGGATCCAGATCTATTTAGGTCAAGATAAAATACAAATATAAAAAGCAACTAAAGCCCAGGCAGTGTGGCTCAGTGGTTGAGCACTGACCCATGAACCAGGAGGTCAGGGTTCAACTCCTGGTCAGGGTGCATGCCCAGGTTGCTGGCTCCATCCCCAGTGGGGGAGGCAGCCAGTCGATTCTCATCATTAATGTTTCTATGTCTCCCCCTCCTTTCCTCTCTGAAATCAATAAAAAGGCATAAAAATAAATAAAGGGCAACTAAAATGGGACCATGGTTATTATTAATTACTATAGTATGGAAGTTTATTATTTTTGATACTGTCATGATCCATATGTGGCATCCATCTATATCCTATTTAGCACTTGGCTCAGTGCAAGGCTCCTGGAAATGCTCAGTGTGTGTGATTAACAGAATGGGTCCAATGTAAAGGCATATCAAAGGTTAATCAAAATCAACAATGGCGACGATCATTCTGACTTGGATGAACATGTAGTAAGAATAACAGGTCCAAAGTAGAAACAGAATTAGTTCTACTACCTTTGTTTTGTATAAAAACATTAAAGTCATTTATCATTTAGTTCAAGGTGGCAGACCGTATTGACACTTTTGTCACCTCTTCTGAGAGCTTATTAAGTAATAAAGTATAGGAATATAGTTAACCCATGAGCCAAGAGAACATAAGGGAGATAAGTGCACCAGAAATGTCAGCAAATTTCTGGGCAATGGGTTGTGGGTGGAGCACATATTGACCTGTACTGAGGCTCAGGGGTGAAATGGAGGAGACAGAACTCTGGAGAGGCTGTGAGCTTGATGTCACTGAGCTGCAGGGTAGGAAGGAGGGCAGGAGGCACTGAAAACAGTGCCAACACTGGAAGGCCCTTCCACAGATCAGCTGCTCCCAGCCAGGCCCTCTCCCAGCAGGCATCTACCCAAACACGGACCCTAGGGAATAAAAAAACTAAAAAATAAACATAAAGCCCAAGAGTTATCTCAAAAGACATGGAATTAACTATTCTAGGAGGAATAAGACTTCTACTAGGGTACTTGTTCCCCAGAATAAAGCCCTTCTCATGCTTGCCTTCGGAGAACCAAGCTCTAAAGCAGCAGTTCTCAACCTGTGGGTCGCGACCCCTTTGGGGGTCAAATGACCCTTTCACAGAGGTCGCCTAAGACCATTGGAAAACATATATAATTACATATTGTTTTTGTGATTAATCACTATGCTTTAATTATGTTCAATTTGTAACAATGAAATTGTGGGTCACCACAACATGAGGAACTATATTAAAGGGTTAGGAAGCATTAGGAAGGTTGAGAACCACTGCTCTAAAGCAAAGACTGTTTGGTGTCTGATCTTGATGCTAGAAATGTAAACCCACAGATGAGGAAAAATAAACAATGTAACAGCCATGAAAGTGTAGTAAGAGTCAAAGTTGAACTGCAGCTGGACATCAGGGCGTGGCTGGAAGGCGGACAGTAGTGCTGTGTGTATGTGTGTCCCAATACCTTTTTTTTTTTCAATGTTAGTGACAATTTTTGCTTGAAGTGGAAATCGAAGAGGCATTCAGTGCAAGTACTTGTGCTCAGGATAAGTTTGTGAATCACAGAAGTTCATCTTTGATTTCTACCACATCCTATTTCAGGGTCCCCTTCTTTTTAGGAAGTTCACCCTTAACTCATGATAAAAGAAATGCAAGGTAAAACTACACAAAGGCACATTTGCAGCTACCAGATTAGCAACAATCCAAAATTCTGACCACATAAGCCAGGCACTCTGACACCGCGATGGTGGGAACATTCATTGGTATACTCGTGGGGAGGGAAATGAATCTACCTTTTTTCTAACAATTCCACTTACGAAGCTTATTCTACAAATGTACTGGTAGATGTGTGAGATGATGAGTATAAAGTGTATTCGTGGCAGCACTCTGAATAGTAAAAGATGAAAAACAACCCAAATATCCATAGTGGCCGGCTAACTGAATTATGACATATCCATTTGAGGAAATAGTACGCAGCTGGGGAAAGAATGAGTGTTCTCTTATAGAAAGATCTTCGAAGCATATTATTAAGGAAAATAAGCAAGGTGAAAAGTAGTACATACTATATGTAATGTTATGTGTACAAAATGGCCAAGAATTTACATTACATTCTCATTTGCTTGACTATGCATGAATGCATAAAGAGACTAGATGGATATGTATGGAACTAGGAAACTAGGTGGGGTGTGTGTGTGTGTGTGTGTGTGTGTGTGTGTGTGTGTGAAAGAAATGGAGACTTTTAGGGAGAATTGGGCAGATGGGGTACCTTTATACCTCTTGTTTCTGTTTTTTTGTTTGTTTGTTTTAAACCATGTGAATTTATTTCCCCTCAAAATTCTTTTCAAAGTCCCTTTCCGTGAGAACCAAACTTCCATCCCATCCCTTGGATCCAAACTGGGCATCTTCTCTCTAATATTCAGGAACCTTCTCCCAAGGTGTCGACTTAGGCAGGAACTACCCTCCTGCCCAGTTTTCTGCTCCAGGATCTGAATAAGTTACCCTCACAGGATTGAATGTCTGCACTCCAGCAGGGACCCCTATGAGACAATAATTTGGCCCTGGAGTGACTTGAATGGTTGTAAATCTACTTTGGCAGGGTGGTGGGGAAATATTCTAGGACTGGTGTGTGCTTTATGGGTACTCCTCAAATTGTATTACGTCAGGTGGTCCTGCTTGTTTTGTAGCTAGTAGTTCATGTTT